CATCCTTGAAGAGGAGTGCATGTTCCCAAAGGCCACAGACCTCAGCTTTAAAGCCAAGTTGTATGATAATCACATTGGCAAGTCACCTAATTTCCAAAAGCCGCGGGTAGACAGGAAGCGCAAGTACGAGACGCATTTTGAACTGGTGCACTATGCTGGAGTGGTAAGTGTGTTCCCACGAAAGGCTGGCAATGATACAGTCTTATACAAGTAATTCCTAAATTAGAGAATTCACCATAATCACTGCTGATTTTCACAGGTACCATATAACATCTTTGGCTGGCTGGACAAAAACAAGGACCCTCTGAATGAGACAGTGGTGGCGGTCTTCCAAAAGTCTGCCAACAAGCTGCTAGCTTCTCTGTATGAGAATTACGTCAACTCAGACACAGGTACAGCAGACACTTGAACTAGAGCATATAGCCCACCTCAGTGTGATCAGATTAATCACTCTGCTAATTCTCTCACAGTATCTGAACCAAAGCCTGGCATCAAGGAAAAGAGAAAGAAGGCAGCCTCTTTCCAGACTGTCTCCCAGCTTCACAAGGTGAGACTGACACCAGAGATACAGTGCATGAGAGTGCAGATAGAGCTGATTCAGCATGGTGGATGGTGTGAGGAACTGTGGGCTTCACTGGATAGCTGGGACAGAGGCAGTTAAGACTTGCAGTGATGTTTAGGGCAATGATCACATGAACATCACTTTAAGTCTGTGCTGGCTCCTGTCTCACTTACATCAAGGACAACATGTGGGACACAGAGTTGAATGGGACAAAATGCATTACATGAATCTTTTGCAGTGAGTGATGTTGTAAAAGCGTATACAAGAATAACCAAGGCACTTTTATTTACTCATTCTTTGGTTCTCCTGCAGGAAAATCTGAACAAGCTGATGACCAACCTCCGCAGCACCCAGCCTCACTTTGTTCGCTGCATCATCCCTAATGAGACCAAGACTCCAGGTAACCCACAACCATCATCCCATCGCACTTACTATGAATAAAGCAACAAGGTCTAGATTTGTATTAGAAATCTTTTCTGTGCAGGGATCATAGATCCATTCCTGGTGATGCACCAGCTGCGCTGCAACGGTGTGCTGGAAGGGATCAGGATCTGCAGAAAGGGCTTCCCCAACCGCATCCTCTATGCTGAGTTTAAACAGCGGTAAGAAAAACCAGACACACAAAAGGCACAAGTCACATTTTTGGATACCATGACAGTCAGTCTCACTGAAAATCGGTCTTGAAACTCTTTCGTTCCATCATTCAGTTATCGCATCCTGAACCCTCAAGCCATCCCAGATGACAAGTTTGTGGATAGCAGGAAGGCTGCAGAGAAGCTGCTGGGCTCCTTGGATATCGACCACAACCAGTACAAATTTGGACACACAAAGGTTAAAGGCTGCAGCTACAGAGCCAGTGGTGGAACATGACATAAGTGCATTTACTCACGTCATTTACACAAGAATTGCACTTAATTACAAATCTGAGGAACTTGTTCTTTACTTGCGAAACTATTTCATGCCATATTGTACTTCTGCTGCACATCACAAGTTATTTTGCAGATTAACACAAAATATAAAATGATGCATTGGTACATATTAAACTACAGTAAAGTCATTAAAATGGTATTCACACATGAATGCATCGGTATTAATAGTCAAATAATATATTTAACATGATGTAAAATTCAGACTAGATAATTAATACTATTGATTTTACTGGATGATCAATGCTTAAGCACATTTAGCTGATCGTACTTCTGTACATAAGGTTTTGAATGCAAGACTTCCCTGGAGTTGAGGGGTGTTTTTTTTTTTTTTTTTTAAACCACTGCAGGCTAGCATGCCCTAAAATTTTAAATGATGTAGAAACAGGAAGCACAGCGTAATGGTATACGTTCAAATGAGTATGTGACCATAGATATTAAGAAAAACATTTTTATGTGATTCATTCGGGTCCTATGATTTCATTGATTTATTTTTGGTTATGGTGTTTTTTTTGTTTTTTTTTTTTAAACTGTTTTCTTTGTTTCCTTTTCTCATGTTCTTTAGGTGTTCTTCAAAGCTGGCCTCCTGGGTCACCTCGAGGAGCTGAGGGATGAGCGTTTGGCCAAAGTCCTGACAATGTTGCAGGCAGTCGCTCGTGGTAAAATCATGAGGATGGAGCTGAGGAGAATGATGGAAAGGAGGTAAACGACGAATGACTTTATTGGTTGTTGTTGTTTTCACACAAAATCACTGTTTTCATCAGTTCGAAGAAAATATGTTCATAGGGACATGAAAATCTTTGAGCCACACAGGAAGTTGGAAAACAAATACAAAAAAGCAATTTCCGGCACCAGTTGCTTCTCTGAACAGGTTCAATAGCAACATGACCAGTTAGTGATACACTATACCTTAGTGTTCACTCCCTCACCCTAGTATGTGTGGCCTTCAAGGGTACTGTTATCGCCGTGTGTTAGACATGTGCTTGCCCTTGTAAGGTTCCCAGGCATGTGTGTGGCCCTTCTGTTAATAAGGGCCCCTTCACTCACACACACACACACACACAGCTTTTGCAGGTCTGTAGCCATTCTCTCCCACCGTGCTCTTTAAATTAAACAATGCTGATGGTGTCCTCAGAGCCAGGTGGTGACATGTGTCAGGTGGCAGCTGCTCCTAAAAATACAACACCCGACCCCCTCCCTGGATACCCATTGGCCCCTGCCCCCTTTTGTCTGTGACGCCTGCACTTCTAAGTGAATGCGTTGATAGGTTATGCAGAGGGTGACAGAGGATTAAAGCTAGCCATTGGACAGAGGACTTTGGTTTCCAAATAAACACAGACACTCACCTTTGAGAGGCACCCTTCATGGAGTCATGTCAAAAGTGCAGTCACCTCCCTCCCCGGTGTGTGCACCCTCTCTACTTCACCCTCCAAACACTGACAGGAAGTCCTTGACCAATCTGCTCTGGATCCATATTTAGGGCTGTGAGACGCCATCCTGCTGAGACTAAACCAATCTAGTAACCCTGTTTGGTCACAGTCGAGCATCACAAGCAATATTAGGTGTATGATTTCATGTTGTATCCCTCAGTACATGATTAGACAGAATGGAGTACTTGCAGGGTTAGTGCCAAAAAATCAAGCACCAAGGAGATGTAACTGAATAAATAAACAGGGAAGCCCAGGAAAAACATTTTGACCTCCTCAGCTACTTGCTTACAACTTCACTTCCACTGGTTGCATAGCACCATGTGACCCAGACCAGTGGTTCCAATCTTTTCTTTCAGACTTACACAACTACCCTTCATTTTCTGAATGTGTTCACGTGAACTGATTTTAAACCAAATGTTATTTTAACTCCATTGCTGCATATTGTTACAATATTAAATACAATTGAACTATCAAAGTTTAGGCTGCTTTAGTCAAGTTTGCATTTGTGCTGTTAGTTGAAGGATATGGATATTTCAAACATTTACTCTTTATCTTTACTTTTAGCTATTTTGACCATTTATTAATTATTTAGTGGTATGTTTAAGGTACTTTAACTACTTATTTATTACTTTTAGGTGCCTGTTTGAACCAGTTTTTACACCCTTTCAAAATACAACCTACTGTATGGTGTTCAGATAAAGTTCACTATGTGCCTATTTATATTACTTTTTTTTTTTTTTTTTTTTTTTA